TAAATATTTTGTTCTTGTGAGCTTAATTCTTGTAAACACCTACCTTAGAGAGGTTTTATTGTTTACATTTCTTATCCTTTTGTAAAGGGGAAAGGTTCTAGTTTAGCCCGAAAAAACTAGGGAGTTGTAAGGTTATCTCTTTGTCCTCAAAAGAAAGAACAAATTAGTGAATTTGTTGGAAAATCCTTAGTGAGGATCTAAGGTAGTTGACGTAGACTTTGGTTGAGAAAGTTGAACCACTATAAATCGCTGTGCAATTCTCTATCTTTCAATCTCCTTACTCCCTAAACACAAAACCGTTCCGACCCCTCTTTGCAAACCGTTCCGGTTGTCGATTCGAGCTTAAGAAAATCCCAACAGTATGTGATATATAAATGAAGAACATGAAGATTGTGATCAATATCGAGAGCAAAGAAAACTTGAAATCGCTAAGTAAGGTTACTAATAAGGCATTTCCAGGTGAGTGAAATTTACTTATACTAACATAAGCATGACATGAGGAAGACTTGCGATGAGTCAACCTCGAATGATTTAGAATGAAAATGATTTCAAATCATTTTATTATATTTCATATTATTTTGCTAAATGATTTCTTTTGAATAATTTCGGGTATGAATTACCCAATGCATTTTTATATGTTATATTTTGATATGTTCGTATTTATGAATACTTAAATATTTAAATGATATGTGAATGTAAGGGAAAACCCCATTGTATGCGTATTGAGATTTATATTGTATGATACTTGATTTTGTTAATATTTAAAAAGACCATGATGAGTGAATCAAATATGACACTTAATTGTGATGATGTTTAAAAAGATTCTAATAAGTGAACGATAAATGACTTAAAGAAAATGCCCATTGTAAATGCATTGAGAATCATTGGTATAGATGTAGAGCATTTAGCACGTCTGACGTCTTTGTGACGGTGGTGCTACTATTAATGATGATTTAGCACGTCTGACGTCTTTGTGACGGTGGTGTTATTATTAATGATGACTTAGCATATCTGACGTCTTTGTGACAGTGGTGCTACTATTAATGATAAATAGCACGCCTGACGTCTGTGTGACGGTGGTGCTATTATGAACGGTACCTAGCACGTCTGACTTCTGTGTGATGGTGGTGTTACTATCGATGGTACCTAGCATGTCTGACGTTACTTATGTAACGGTGGTGCTACTTATGTATATGCTCATCTGACTCGAATACCTTGTATTATCTGTGGTTTACATTGGGTTGTGAAATGAAAAAGTGAATAGTATATGCTATGAATGAAAAGTGAATGATACAGGCTACGAAATGAATTAAATGAATGATACATGCTATGAAATAAATGAAGTGAATGTAACATGCTATGATATGATATGATATGAATGAAAAGCTTATTTTGAATGAAATTAAAATGAAATAGTCTAAACGATGTGAATTGAAAATGATGTTGCTTTGGGAATTATGTTTTGACTTTAAATGTTTTATGATGATTCTTTGAATCATAGACAAATTTTAAATGATGTTTAATTTAATTATACATGCATTATATTTTGTTATAAATATGTTTTATTACTGTTTATATTTTAATGATATTAATATTTTAGTAGTAACTTAATGCCTCACTCAGTGTATACTTAGCGTGTGATGATTTTCACACATAGGAAAAGAATAGCGTTCGAAGTAAGGAGCTAGGCCCATCATCAACTTTTAAATATCAGATACGCTCCAAAATCAATATGACATATTTTTGAATGGTGATAATACTAGTTGGCATGTATACTAAATGGTTGTGAAACTTAAAAATAGTTATGTTTGAATTTGGTTTTTGATGGATAATATTATTTATTATTGTTTATAAATAAAGATTAGCTGATAAATATTTTAGTTAAATGATCTTTTTAATGCTATCGAAATGAAATATTTTAAGAACTTGATAATAATTGAATTATTTTAGAAAGATATAAAATTTTTCTGATTTTCGAATAAGGGCCGTATTGAAAGAGTTATTTGATATTCTTCACTCGTATGCGATAACGTATTCAGGAAATGAGTGTTACAAGATTCCTTTTGTTTTCGGGTGTCGATCATGATCTCGAAACAACACGGCGGCTTCGACGGATCAACGGTTGTGATAACAGCCAGGTTGTTAAAAGAACATGCACCTTTACTTTGATTCATGGTCTGAAAATACGTTTTGAACGCATAAGAAGCGTTGCTTTGAGCATCGAGGTTCACACACGAGGAACCATAGCTGAGGCTGGTGCTCTGAGCCAACGTGCTGGGGTCCGAGACGCCAGCCGAAGGCGACATCACGCACCATTTCTTGTCTAGATACTTGACACCTTTGGCTGGCACGATGGCCCGTCCATTGCCCATATCCAGTGGATACTTGATGCTTCCATCGTATTTAAAGATTTTCCAATGCTCTCGAAATTCGCCGGCAATGTGCTCTTATGGTCTTCGTCGATGAGCGAAAAGATATAAACATCCGGCGGTGTTCGCCGCCGTGGACTGCCTTGGCCTTGGACTATACGGTCCAAAAGTGCTTGGTTGAACCTCTTGGCGTTCTCGATGTTGGCACCAGGATCACCATCAGTCGGCCAGCCAACTTCACCGATGACAACCGGCATACGTCCGAAGCCTTTTTTATCTAGAGCCGAAATGAGGGTATCGAAGTTGGCATCGTACACTTTGGTGTGAACGATGGAACCGTCGACGACGGGATTAGCAGTGTTGTTGAAGAAAGCATATTCTTTGGGAAAACTAGGGTCGGCTTGCATGCTAAGAAAAGAGTAGATGTTGATGGTGAGGAAGCCACCATTGTCTTGAAGGAACTTGATGATGTTCATCATTAGGTTCTGGAGTTCGGGTCGGATATATCTGCCGGAAGGTAGGCCAGAGTCGGTCTGGTAGACATCGGCGTTTAGCGGGATGACCTTTACATGCTTGCCTGGGCTGGCTTTGATAAGAGCTGCTTCAATGTTTTGAAGGGCTGGGAATATTGTACTCACGACTGATCTCTGTAGTCCTGTAGGAACGGTTCATTGCCTATGGAAACCGACCTGCAAAGTTGTGATGACATACTAAGTATACAATTTATGTATTATACAAGGACTAATAACAGAATTTAAGCTAAAACTATTTGTTCGTGCATTTTACGTGGGAACATTTTGTACACATAATTTGTAAAAGAATGCACCTTATATCAGTCCCATGGCTGGATATATATTTGGAAACATTTTGTTGCATCCATGCCTCGGCATTTCTCACAGCACCAGCAAGCGAAGCCAGCATGTAAGTTGGTATCCCAACCATAACTTGGATACCAGACCTGCCTAGAGCTTCGAGTGCACCAGGATCAGCTTCGAAAAGCTTCACTTTGTTGAACCCGTTGTCTTTCAAGAGCCTGACCACTATGTCGGCCGGCAACGGATGCGTCGATTGCAGCCCCTAGTTGCAAGCCAACCCCGAGAAACCCTCGGCCAAGCCTCCATTCCCAAACAGGCAAATAAGAATGAACAGAAACCAATGGATTTGATCAATATTTTGAGATCAATGTATGAGCCTCTGTTTCTGCTTTGAGTTTTGTTTGCATGTGCTTATGTATGCAGTGGTTTGGGGTTTAGAATCATGGAGAAAAATGTGCTTTTACCGATGGAAAAAGAAAGGCAAGGAATTTCACATTAAAGACCCACCAAGGAACAGGGTTCCGTTTGGAAAACTCAAATTTGAATCTTCAATAGAAAAACATTATTTTAAGAGGGTTAATATGCTATCTCGAACTACTGACTGAATTTTAAATGACAATTTGAATCAATCGTATTTAAAATTATTTATTAACCCTCAAGTTAATGGTTAAATTATCATAAGGATATTGCTTTATTAAGTCCCTCGATTATTAAAGTTATAAAATTGTCACTCGACTATTCATCATGTTCCAAAGTCATCATTTTTCGTTAAAAAATTAGTGGTTGTCTAAGCTAGACGTTAGAATGATGACTGAGATTCTGATATCAGATTTTATCATATCACAGCCAACATGTTAATGTTAAACTCAGAATACTGTCAAATTTTTAAAGAAAAAAGGATGAGTTTGGAACATAATGAATAATTAGGTGACTATTTTGTAACTTTTAATAGTTAAGAGATTCAATAAAATAACACTCTCGGAGGATTTTTGTAACTTGTAATAATCGAGAGACTTAATAAAATAATATCCTATAGTTGGAGGATCATTTTATAACTTCTAATAATCGAGAAAAGTTAGTAAAACAATATCCTATAGTTGGAGGACCATTTGTGTACACAACCCTTAAAGAAATTAGATTTAACCAGTAATTTGGAAACGTTTGATACACTTAATGGGCAGAGCTATTATAAAGCAAGAAAGGTGTAGAGTGAAAATTGTGGACATCATTACGTGTAGAGATATTCAATTGGAGCCAAAAAAAAGGCAATACAAGGAATAGAATACTTACTTTGGAACTAGGATCTTCCTTTGGTCTTACAAAGGTTTCATCTTTCATGGAAAGTCTCTTTTTGGATGCTACATGCATTCTACCTTTTTCTTTTTGTTACAACTGATTTAATATTCGTTTTATATTAGTTTAGATTCTACCTTTTAAGGTTAATTTCATATTTTAATTTATAAGTTAAATTTATATTTTAATCAAATTTAGAGATTAAATTAAGAATTTTCTCATTTTACTAACATACTACATCATCAAACTAACAACTTTTAATATCCTACTGATTAAAATGTTATAAATTAATTTAATAAGTGATTGGAATGTTATTTTTATAAAATGTAGTGGCTAAAAGTGAACACTTGTGAAACAAATATGACAATTTTGGTAGTTTACTAAAAAAATAGAAGAAAGTAGACCCGCCCATTTAAGATTGAACCGGGGCGACACCAATGAATCATGAATCATTGTTCCCTTCTCCAAGAAACCTGATCTTAATTAAATACAAAATTCGAATCAGAATTTCCATACCCCCAGACTTACAAAAGAAGAAACCAATTCAATAATCTGAAAATCGAAAGCTGTCTCTTTAACAAGACAATGGAGTCTTATTCTTCTTCAGATGAAAGCTTGAAGCAACAATTAGAGGAATTGCAGAAACAACTCGGAAAGAAACAGAGATTCGAGGAAGCAGTTGCCTCCATCAATTCCCTCATGAAGCTCCATTACCCTTCTGCTGCTCCCTCACTTCGCAAATCGGTGAGATATCTTTTTCCTTTATTCGTCTTTTCTTTTCTTTTTTCTGTTTTAATTTCAAGCTGAAATTGATTTTTTGGGTACGGATTATCGTTGTTTTTCGTCAGTTTTATTCCATTGTTTGCCGTGTTGCGACCATTTTGAAGACCAGATACACCGCCCCCGGTTTCTGGCTTGCTGGTTTACGCCTTTTTGAACTCTTAGAACCTCTCGTCTCTGATCCTTCTGAAAATGATCATTTAAGGAATTGCATTTCTCAGGCTATGGAACACTTGAACGAAATTGAAAACCCCGTCCAGTCATCCGAATCTTCAGAAAACAGAGGTTTGTTTCTGGAATAACTCTTTTGCTTTTTCTAGTTTCTTATTTATGTTTAGAGAAATTGAAATGTAGGGATGGTTCGGAATAATATATTTGCATATATTCGACTTCCTTTTGATTTGGATATTCTAATTACTATTTGTAACGACTTTGGAGAAGATTATGATATTAACTTTCATACATCCATTATTCGAATTCGCTTTACCTATAGATTACATAATTGGATTTGGATTTGGGTATTCATTATCTAATTCCGCTTTACTTTTTTTGATTACGAATTCGGATATTCAAATCCATTATCTTCTTTAGTTTTGGACATGTGGATTTTGATAGGAGATTGATGCTCTGAGGATAATTTAATTAATGTATTCGGATTTGGATAGTTATACTCGGATTTAATGCAAATAATAAACAGATTGGGGTTTTGAGTAGGTTTGCAGATTAGATTTTACAGAAATTGCAAATATTCAACTTGCATAATGATTAAAAGGTTTCTGTTTTATATTGTTTGTTTTCCCAAAAAGGTTATCTTTTTGAAGGACATCTTACATTGGATCCTGAACCACCACAACCCCAATGGTTGGTCCAATCGAATCTCATGAATGCTTTTGCATCTGCTGCAAATGCTGAATTTTCTAAGGGTTCGGCCACTAATGTTAACATTATAGAAAATGCTGCCAATGTGCTTGAACAACTCATTAATCACCTTGATACTGTTATACCAGAGGTATTTTTTGGTATCTCCTAGATGGTTTTATATCAATTCATAGATGTTGTTTAGCTTTTGCAATTCATGTAAATGAATTAATCTTTGTTTTTCAAGATATTGGAGAATGAGGGTGGTGTTCGAAGAGTCCCACCGGCTAGTAAAGAAGTCGTTGCTAAGCTTCCAATATTTACTCTCACAGAAGAAATCCTGGCTAAGCTTGGATCTGATGCAGAATGTGCAATATGCAAGGAGAACCTTGCTGTAGGCGATAACATGCAAGAATTGCCATGCAAGCACACGTTTCATCCTCCTTGTTTAAAGCCATGGCTGGCAATTAATAGTGCTCGACTTTATTTGATTAGTGGTATACTACAATCCTAGTTTTAAAGAATGAGGATGAAATGAGGTCGTGGGTTGTCTGATTAAAATGGTTTTTGTGGCAGGATGAGCACAATTCTTGCCCGATTTGTCGATGTGAGTTGCAAACAGATGACCATGATTACGAGAGCTGGAAGGAGCGGGAAAAGGAGGCTGAAGAAGAGAGAAAAGGTGCCGAAAATGCTGTTCGCGGTGGTGAATTCATGTATGTGTAATTGTGTCGATCACTGGTCTTATTGGATTTATACTCAAATGTCAATGATATTTCATTATTGTATTTAACACATGACTTAATGGTATAATAAAGATTCTGATAATATATTTCTGATGGCTTTAACATAATCTGGGTTTTTTTTTTTTTATGTATATATATATATAATCATCAGTATCTGATTTGCTGATCAATTAAATCAGATTGGGTATTGTAGAAGTTTATGATAGGGGACCAATTTTCCTAACGTTCGCTCTCTGATTCCCCGGCCGTTTTCCAATGGCTTTATTTGCCAAGGAAGCAGCTTCGGGTTCATTAACAGTGCTACTTCCACGTCAAATTACAACAATAACACCCTTAATAGGATATACTAGAGGTTGGATTCTTGCTCAAATTGATTCATGCATATATTTATTCATTGGCTTTTATTATTTTTGTTCTTGCTTGCATGAAATAGAAGAGAACAAAGAGATAAGTGACAGGCTACAATTTGAGATCACCCTGTAACAAAAATTGCCCTCTTGATCAAAGAAAATGGAAAGGAAGAAAAGAACTGTAAGTAGTCTATTATGCAGCCTTCACTTTCTCGATCAAGTCCGAAGCGTCTTGGACAGTTGCAATGTTCTCAGCTCCGTCTTCTCCAACCGAGATTCTGAATTGTTCCTCCAATGCCATCACTATCTCCACTTGAAATGAATTTGATGTAAGAAACTGATAAAAAAAAAAAGGATTGCAATGAAGAAACAAATGTGGGATTTGTCTTGAAGAGATGAAAATACCGTGTCAAGGGAATCAGCACCCAGATCAGCAAACTTGGTTTCAGGAGTCACCGAGCTCACATCGATCGACAACTGCTTGGCGATGGTGTTTTGGACAGTTTTCAACGTCTCGGGATCAGCCTAGTCGGAAAATCCAATATGTATCAAAGACGATGAGCTTAAATAAAGTTGTAATGAGCAAAAAGGAAAACAATGGAGTTATGTTTCTTACAAGAGAGTATGAAACTGGTTTGTTAAAGCAGCTAGATCGAGTACAAAATTTGTTCGTCTGCTTTGAGAATTGAACCTTTGGAATAAGATTTAATCCATTACATACAACGGGACCCCCCCTGCAATAAAAGCTCCACTTAATTCGTTTCGGTTTACATTGAATTAGTTCAGAAAGGGGTAATGGCTTACAGTAGTGGAGAAGCTTTTGTGCTGAGAATAGGATCCCTTGGCGATTGAAAATGTAGCAGGGCTGGCTAATGAACATGCTGGGATTGAAGCAAACGCAGCCATTTGAAGCTTGATCGACTAATTAGAATCGAAAATGCAGGCTCAAATGAATGAGAGAGATATCGTTTTACCAGTATTGAATTGATGAAGGAACACACAGAGTTTGCAGATATAAATAGATATATTGTTGACGACGATGTCAGAAAGTGTTCGGGGAGTTACATGAAGATCTGATGATGATTACAATGTTTTGTTTTGGTAAGTTTTAGAATAGGGAGGTCACTTCCATGGATGTTCAATGTCTGCTTATGCTGATACATTCTATGGTAGACCATGCATGTAGCAGCATGCACTCATGCATGCCAACAATGCATGTTGCAGCATGCACTCATGCATGCATTCAAGTGGAAAAAAGGGTGAAGAAGGGAAATTATCTGTTCGGCGTTTATATTCAGAGAGAAAGTGGTTTGGCCTAGAATTGGATTGGTGATGGAGGGTTCTCATTGGCTGCAACTTGTCATGATTCAAAACCATAACCCGAGCTATATATGCACACACGTATGGGTATACTAAAAAAAGGGGTCCAGAAATTTAACATGCTGCTCTGCACTCTTGCCTTGGGAGTTTTTGTGATGTGTTGTTTGTTGATGGCAGGTTGATACCGCCACCAACACCACCGCAGTTATGGCGGAAAGTGACCTTACAATTTGGACCTTTGAAAGCTAAAATGGAGACGAAAATGAGTGTGGGAGAAGGCTGTATGATCCTGATCTCATCTCTAGATTTCGAATACTATTTTTTATTATTCCTTTCTATATACATTTATATGTTTAATCATTTTTAATTTATGATAAATTATTTATCATTTTTTTATAGTTCATAATCACGTTATTTTCACTTTCTATCCAAAAATTTCCACCGTCGTGTTCAAAATGGAGCCGTGAAGGGGATATAAAGGTGCAGGCTTTTTCTCGGCGGTGGCCAGTTGTCATCGTACCTTTCCTTGCATTCCCACGTGGCAACCTGCTTTGACGTGGAGCTTCAAGAATCTGCCGCATCGCATCCATTTGTCAGCAAATGGTTCCCTGCCCACCAACCTCCATTGAGTGGGGAAAAATACAGCCGTGCAATTATGAGCCGTCACATCATGTCCGTCTGTGTTTTGCAGGCGGTCCTCCCTCCCCCATTCTTAAGCCTTTGAGTCATCAATTCTACCACCTCGAGTTATTTAAATCAGTTAAAAAAAGGGATGATTTTTGACGTGAAAGTAAACGCAAACACGTACATTTAATATTCCCATGTATAAACAGCTCCCTCGCCGAAATTACCGTTGGTTTGAACGCCTAAATTTCCATGCAAAGGGATTTTCCCGTTTACAAAGAGAAACCCAGAGAAATTATTGTTACAGATGGCCATGCATAAGATACTGTAAAAAAAAAAGGTGCAACATTTGCTCCATTGACAACAGATGAAATTTAATACACAAAATCAAAGGGTGAATTCTACATTCATGCAATTAGAGTAAGAAAATTTAAAAAGAAAAGATTGATGATCACAGCGGCGGATTCAGAAATATTTTTCAAAGTGGACACACATATATTAACAACATAAAACTGTTAAATTAGATGGATATAAATAAAATTATAAAGTGGGCAGCGTCCATAAAATAAGTAACTAATAGAAGAAAACTCAGATTTTAAGATAGGCACGAAAAATTTTAGGACGAACACTATCAATAAAATAAATAATTAATCGAAGAAAACATTTGGCTACATATCCATTCTCACCGAGCTGAGGCTCCGCCACTAGATGATGGAGACGATGGTATGGAGCATTTCTGTCTGCTTCCTTTAGGTCCAAAAATCTTGTCCAGTTTCGACAGGATTGGAGATTCTTATGTCAGTCTCGTCTTTTACTATTGTGAGTTCATATATTACCGGTAAAAAACTCAAGAGATTACAGCATGAAATATCAATCCAATTATCAAAAACAAAGTAGAAGCCATTTGTTGAATCCTTCCTGAAAAATTCAGATCTTGTCCCCTTTCACATAACCACGAACAAACAATCAAATCATTCAACGTAATAAAATATTTAGTATCCAAATTCATCACCATATTTTATTTTCTGCTCTTTTTTTTGTAGATTTTAAACATGCAAGTAACAGCAAAAGAAACCTGGTGTAATGTTAAGTAATTGACCTTACTCTGCAGCCTGCTGGCATGAAATAGTTACACATAGCAATACATGCAAGCTTCTTGTAAATGCATGTGTAGTTGAAAAGAAGGGGCAATTTAATAAAGGAGAGTCCCAACTCCAAAGCCTAACTGCCCCATTTGAAGCTTGTAATATGAAGGGTAAACAAATGTCAATTACCAAAACTAGGAAAAATCCAGACAATTTACAAACCCTAGGTCAGTCCCTAGCTTGTATTTATAACACCCCTTGGTGGGAACTTCAGCCTCCTGCACCATCTGCACCCCTTTCTCTCTGCATTTTTTGTACTTTATTTCTCAGAGATTAGAAAAAGATCCAAAAAAAAAAAAGAAAGAAAGAAAGAAGAAAACAAGTTTAGAGATGAAGGGTCGATCTTCCAAGCAAGTGGTTGCGGTTGAATGGAGGAGAAGGTTCAAACAGGAGCCTCATCTCTCTGGTGCTTATATCCGTAGCCTGGTTAGGCAACTCACCTTAGCAAGATGTACCAAAGACCCTGAATCCGTTGATGGCTTCGGTGCCCGAAATTTGACCAAACTTGGTGATGGTTTTAGTGAAACACCACAGAGCCAGAGCCAGCAACCCGAACCACCACCACCTCAACAACATAGGAAACAGGTTAGGAATAGGAGGAGAGTGCACACCAGCAGGCCTTACCAAGAAAGGCTGATTAACATGGCCGAAGCTAGGAGAGAGATTGTCACTGCGCTCAAGTTCCATTGAGCTGCCATGAAACAAGCCAATGAGCAACAGCAGCAGCAGCAATTATCACACCACTCTGAATCAAACACAAACAACTTGTCCAGTACTTATACTTGGCCAGCTTTGAACTGCAGTTTACCAAGCCAAAACCTTAACTTTCACTTCAACAGCAAAAACCCTTCAATCTACTCATCTCCCTCATCTTCATCTTCACCAACTCTATCTGTTGCAGTACAACATGAAGTGGGGCATGGAACTGGGGCTGATTCAACTGAATCCTACGGTGGGGGAAGCTTGCATCAAGCTGTAGACGACGAGGGAATGCGGAGATGAAACCATTAGGAGAGCAGCATAAAATGGAGTGGAATGACACTATGAATTTAGTAACATCGGCACGGTGGTTCAAGTTCTTGAATGAATTTGATCAAGCCATGGAATTCCCTGCCTGGTTGAATGCAAATGACAGCTTCATGGGGCAGCATTTCGATGATCTTGTCCCAGATACCTGCTTCCAGGGTTCTGCCTTACCTTGGTAAGTAATAGTACCCAAAATTTCAAAGACAACAAGTTCAAGAAAAGTATAAATTACAATGATTTTCGGAATGCTTATTCATACATTGGCAATATAGTATAAATTCAATCCATAATTTAGAATGAAACTTTTGTTAAAATACAGTAATTACCTCATTTTCACCAAGAAAATAGTCAAGTTTGCCTCGTTTTTGTTAATTTTCTCAAAACAGTAACAAACTTGAAAAACAAAACAAACACTAAGGATTTTGAGATGCTCAACACACTACATCATTTTCTGGTTTTTTTATTATTCAAGCAAATACAAAATATAACTGCACCACTAATATAACCGCCCACGTTTTCTAAAAAAAAACTAACCATATCAACTTCACTTAAATAACTGCTACCATACTTTAGTAACTGCTGACTCTAAAATTCACCCACCTAAAATATGCTTAAAATTCAAAAAAACATACAAAGACAATTCCTGGAGACAACTAGATTAACTCAACAATCTCCTCCTTAAGCTTGTTGTCCTCCACTGACGATCCGCAAACCAGTTTTCTCTCTCATCTCCAAGAACTTCAATTTTGCAAGTGACTTTGTCATAATATCAACACACTGATCTTTTGTGCAAACATGTTGAATCTCAATCATTCCTTATTCAACACAATCTCTAATGTAGTGGAATCGGGTATCGATGTGTTTGCTCCTCTCTTGGTGAACTGAATTCTTGCTCAATGCAATTGCAGACTGATTATCGATCTTTAGAATCACTTTCTTAACCTCGGTCTTTAACAAATCTGCCAATAGTCGTCCAGCCACACTCTTTGACACGCTGCTGCACAGGCAGCGATGTACTCCGCTTCACAGGAAGATAATGCAACCACTTTATGTCTTTATGTTTTTGTGAACACCAAATAATAGGATAAGACCCAAGGAAAAATATTAAACATGAGGTGCTTTTCCTGTCATTAGTATCACCAGCTAGATCACTATCAGAGTAACCGATCAGCTCCAAGCTTCCTTCCTTTTTCTCATAAACGCAACCGAGGTTTAAAGTTCCTTTCACATACCGCAATATGTGCTTTACTACGGCCATGTGCTCCGTTGTGGGCTTCTCCATGTATCTACTCACCATGCCGACAGAGAATGCCAAATCTGGGCGTGTGTGAAGTAGATATCTTAAACTGCCAACAATACTTCGATACAGAGTTGTGTCTACAGGTGGACTTGTGCTTTCCTTGCTCAGTTTCAGACGAGGTTCCATCGGGATTTTTGAATGGTTGCAATCTTTTATGCCACATTTGTCTAAAACCTTTCTTGCATATGCCGACTGGTTGAGTGTCATCCTTTGAGAATTCTGACAGACTTCAATTCCCAGATAGTAACTTAGTAACCCAAGGTCACTCATGCTAAACAACTTCTTCATCTGTGATTTGAACTTGTCTATGTCTTGAATACACTCTCAAGTGATTATTAAATCATCCACGTAGACTCCAACAATTAAATTCCCTTTACCTTGATTTCTCATGTACACGACATGCTCTAAAGAACACATGTCAAAACCGAGTGTACTCAATGACTTGTCCAGCTTTGAGTTCCAGGCTCTAGGTGCTTGACGCAAACCGTACAATGCTTTGTACAGTTTTAACACCTTGTGCTCTTCTCATTTTATTTCAAATCCCGGTGGTTGAATGACATACACTTCCTATTTCAAATCACCGTTGAGGAAGGCTGACTTCACATCCATATGATGCACCTCCCATCCTTCATGTGCTGCAATAGAGATCAACAAACATACTGTCTCTAGCCGAGCAACAGGGGCGAAAACTTCATCAAAGTCTATGCCTTGTCGTTGAACGTACCCCTTTGCCATTAATCTCGCCTTGTGCTTCACAATTCTGCCTTGAGTGTCATTCTTTAACTTGTAAACCCATTTTAGACCTATAGGTTTGTGGCTGTCGGGTAATGGAACGAGCTTCCAAGTTTCATTTTTTCGAATAGAGGAAATTTCCTCCTCCATTGCTCTTCTCCACATTGGATCTGCCTTGGCTTCTTCGAAATTCGATGGCTCCTCTTCTCCTAGTAAGCACAGACCCGAATACTGTAACTCTATGGGGACCGTTACATCGTACAAGCTTTTGATGCCACGCTTACCCCGTGGTCCTACTGATGAACTCTCATCAGATGTTAAGGGTTGTAGTGTTTCGGTTGATACTGATTCTTCAACCGTTGCTGTTGGAGTATAAGGCGAGTTCGAAACAAATGTTCTGGATCTCGTGTTCATCACTGGTGTAGCATACTGGTATCGGTCACCAGTTTGTTCCTGTGTCGGCTGTGGGAAATCCATGCCAATGCCAATTCCAGAATCGCTGACACCCTCTTTATCTTTCTGATTTGTCGTATCAGATGTGCCTGCTATGGTAAAATAGTGTGTTGTAAGAGTGTTCTCTGCTGATTTTGTTTCTGGAAATTTGCTCCACTCCCACTTCTTTTCCTCTTCGAACACGACATCCCGTGTCACCACTACTCGTTTTGACTTTGGATCAAACATCCGATAGCCTTTTGTATTCGAATCATAACCAATAAACACCATTGGCTTGCTTCGATCTGTAAGTTTTGAAAGATGAGGTGTAACATCTTTTACGTGTCCCACACATCCAAAGATGCGAAAATGATCAACAGTTGGCTTACGGTTGTAGTATGCTTCATAGGGAGTTTTGCCGACGATGCTTCTTGTTGGTGCTCAATTTAGGAGATATACGGCAGTTGATACCGCCTCTCCCCAAAATTCGCCTGAGACTCCCATTCTTTTCAACAAGCTCCTTGCCATGCCGACCACAGTCTGATTTCTTCGTTCAACAACTCCGTTCTGCTGAGGAGAATAAGGCGCCGTGAGATAACGCTTAATTCCCAACAACTCATAGTAAGTCTTGAATTCATTTGAGGTAAATTCGCCACCACGATCTATACGAAAAGCCTTTAACTTAATGTTTTTCTCCATTTCTGCTGATGCTTTGATCTTCTTGAATGCCTCAAATGCTGTCTTTGTTTCGGATCAGCACCTGCCACATGAATCTAGTACAATCATCAACTTACAGCAGAAAATAACTCTTGCCTCCGTGTGTAGCAGGAGTTATTGGCCCACACAAATCTCCATGCCACAGTTCAAGAGGTGATTCTGCTCGAAATTTCACCACTGCTGGAAAAGGATTTCGGTGTTGCTTTCCTATCAAACAACCATCGCAGATGCGGTCCTCATGCTCGATTATGGGCAAGCCACGCACCATTTGTTTCTGACTTAGAAGCTTCAAGGCATGAAAGTTCACATGCCCATATCTTGCATACCAGTGCCAAGCGTCTTCTTTGCTCCTTGCGAGAAGGCATTCGGGTAGGGCTGGTACTATGTTAAACACATATAACCGGCTCCTTGACCTGTTCACTTTTTCTAGTACCCTTTGTGATATGTCGTAGATAGACATTACTCCTCCTTCAATTACAACCTTGCAACCATTCTCTTCTAACTGACCAAGGCTTATTATGTTGCTCTTCAACTTCGGGATATAGTAGACATTAGTAAGTACACGATGTTCACCTATGAAGCATTTAAATAAAATTGAACCTCTTCCTTGTATTTCTACAGCCGAGCCATCTCCAAATTTGACTGACCTTTTAATGGTCGTGTCAATTTCAGCAAATTTTCTGATACAACCGGGCATGTGGTTACTTACGCCGGTATCTAAATACCAAGCCTTGTCTTGGGTGCTGTTCATCTTTGGCACCACCTTGTCTTCGTGTAGTAACACATGTTCGTTCTGTATTGCGTGGCTGAGAACACAAGTTTCAATCATCAATAATGTTGGTTCATCATCGATTTGTTTTGTAACAAGATTGGCCTTCTCTCTTCGGTTTGGCTTGGGACACTCTTTTGCAAAGTGACCATATTCATTACAATTGAAACACTTAACCTTGGATTTGTCGAAATTGCGTGGCTTTTGGTCTTCATTTTTGCGTTCACCATTTCCTCGACCTCCACCATTTCCACGCCCACGACCACGTCCTCTCCCGTGACGTCCTCCTCTTTTGTTGCTGCAGGAACCTTCATCTCTCTTTGCCTTTGGAATTCTTGCCTCCCACTCGGCCTGGGTAAGGAGTAATTGTTCTCCACTGCTCTTTGAGTGCATTCGTCCTTTAAGCCCTTCCTCGAAAGTTCTGAGACGACCGATCGCCTCTGAAACTGACATCATCTCAATATCGCCAAATTGCTCAATTGTTCCAATAATCTGGAGAAATTTATCTGGAACTGCGTTGAACAATTTTTCAATAACTTCGCTGTCATCGAGCTTCGTGCCCAACGAGCGAATCTCACCCACCAGTGTGGTAAGCTTCATGGAAAATTCGTTTATTGTCTCTGAATCCTCCATGTATAACTTGTTCAGTTGCCGTTTCAGCACCTGTACGCGTGCCTTCTTAACGCGATCTTCACCAACCCGCATCTCCCTGAGTGCGTCCCAAGCCTCCTTTGCCGTCTGCTTCTCAGCGATTGCCATCATCACGTCATCTGGCACGGCTTGAGAAATGGCTACCATGGCGCCTTGATCTTTGTCGTCGTCTGTGTCTCCATCTTCGATCACTGACCATACTCCTAGCGAACGCAAGATTATCTTCATCTTGACAGCCCATATGCCGTAGTTCGTTTCGCTTAACGTTGGATATTGGATCGGGAATGAAGCTCCTCTTGCCATCGGTTTGACCACTGCAAGTGTTTGTGATTGGTCTCCGACTTCACTGTCCATTGCTTTGACAACCTGGCTCTGATTACCAAATGTTAGTTTTCTCAAAGCAGTAACAAACTTGAAAAACAAAACAAACACTAAGGATTTTGTGATGCTCAACACACTGCATCATTTTCTGGGTTTTTTTATTATTCAAGCAAATACAAAATATAACTGCAACACTAACATAACAACCCACGTTTTCTAAAAAAAAACTAACCATATCAACTTCACTTAAATAACTGCTACCCTACTTTAGTAACTGCTGACTCTAAAATTCACCCACCTAAAATATGCTTAAAATTCAAAAAAACATACAAAGACAATTCCTGGAGACAACTAGATTAACTCAACAGTTTTCTGTTAAACATAATAAAGCTGGATCGATAGACGCCACCTTCATCCTTGCCAAAATTTATGGGTAAACAACGACTTTAGTACCTAAACTATTAATTTTTTTCAAAATCATGCCTAATATTTATTTTTTGTTTCATTTTAATACTTCGTCATTAAAAATTTAACATGTTTAGCTAAACTATTAATTTTAATCCGTTTTAGTATCTAAACTTTAGTTTTTTAAAAAACTTAAGGTTTAATTTTTAATAGGAGTACTAAAATAAAACAAAAATTAAACAATACGTATAATTTTGGAAAAAAATAAAATTTTAAATATTAGGAAGAACTAAAATTGATAGTCTAAATATTAAACGTGTAATTTATCCATAATTTATTGCTCTGAGAGCCCAAAAGAAGGGCCCATTCAAGTTTACCATGGACATTTCTCATAGAACATTGGGTGAATTAAATTAGTCCAAAGATCTTAGCTAAAAAAAATTAAAAACGAAAATGGTATTTGATATTGTTGATCTTTTTATTTTGACTTGAGCCGTATGAATTTTGGGTTTATATTTCATATAATTTAGGTTTTATTATGTATATAGAATTGAAGAATTTTTCGATATGCAGATTAAGTAAATTGAAGTATATACCACTCTATCTATTAAAGACAAGAATAAAAAAATTAATTATTAAATAATTTAATTACTTTGATCAGTTTTGAAGGTTTTTTAATAAGATATCAACACGAGATTTATTATCGTTGTACAAATTTATGTCACATTAAATATAAATCCAAAAAGTTTATTAAGTTCCTTCGCGTATAAAGTTTTTTTAGATTTAATGAGTTTATTTGTTTATCCTTTCTGTGTTTGTTGACTTGTATTGTTGTGTGATTCACAGCATGGACATTCGAGAGATTGATGGGGATTGGCATTGGTTGGCTTAAGTGACAAGGATTAATTAAGATTTTGATTAATCAAAGGTCTAATTATGCCTTTCGTCCCTGCATTCTTCATATCTTGAAATTTAGTCCATGGTTTTTTTTATTTCAGAATCTATTCCCTCTACTTGTCTGAGTTAAAAATAAATAAAAATCTAATTGATAATATTATTAATTGATTTTTGTTAATTTTAAATATGCTGTCAAACTTTTATCTTTAAATCAAATATTTGAATAGTGTTAAAAAGTCTGGTATTTAAATTTATTAAAATTTTACAAATGATGTTATATATATATATATATATATATAACAAGTTTAATCGAATAAAACAAAATAAATTTCTAGCATTCCTCATCATCTTCGAATAAAATGAA